CTCCTCACTCCCTGCATCCCTCCCTCCATCCCTCCCTCGCGCGCCCTCTGAAGGGGAGTGGGAAGGGGAGAACGAGAAAGGATGAGGAGGACGAAGGATGACGGAGGAGGGTGGAGAAGGGGGGCCCATGCAGCCACAAAGCCCTCTACGGGTTACATACTCCTGGGCAGCCCAGACACGAAGGGACGACGACGACGACGACGACGACGACGACGACGACGACGACGACGACGACGACAACGATGACGACGACGACGACGACGACGACGACGACGACGACAACGGCGACGGCGACGACGACGACGATGGCGCCGACGGCGGCCACGACGTTCACGACCACTACTCCCTTGACCCTCCCTCCGTCTTTCCGACTCCTCTGGTCACCTACAGAGACGAGCCAAGGCATTCAAGTTAGAATTGCAAGCCGAAGGGAAATGCAAAATGCGAACTATGATGCTCGGATACGGTTCGCTGACTGATGCTCAGGAAACGGACTGGACACGAAGTGGATGGCGTCACCGAGCACCACCGCCCTGGAAGCAAAAGATGAATCCGAGTGGTCTAAACATACAGCCCCGGGTGGTCGCAGATTCCTCACTCGGGGGGCCAAAACAGAAGCAATGACACACCGCCGTGGGGAACCTTCAACGTGTTTCTCCCGCGAATGCGCGCTCCAGCGATCAGAGGGCGAGGGGGGGGCGGAGGCTCTCGGAGTCCTCTGAAGGTTTCACGGCGACAAACGACGACGACAACGACGACGACGACGACAATCGCGCCGACCGTACGACGACGACCGTCCGACGACGACGACGACGACCGTCCGACGACGACCGTCCGACGACGACGACGACGACGACGACGACGACGACGACGACGACGGGCGACGGACGACCGACGACCGACAACCGACGACCGACGACCGACGACCGACGACCGACGACCGACATTCGACAACCCCGAGCTAAGGGCCAGAGACGCCCCGAGCCTGCGGGGGCTGGCACGCCAGGGTTCAGGACCGGCGCCGGCACGTAGCTGCCCTGTGGGGGCACGGGAAACTCGCCATCGCTCGTGCCTCCACTCCCCGTGCATTTTTCGACTCCGCGCGTGCACTTTTCGCAAGATGGCCCCAAAATGCTCCTCGACGGTCCTCGCCGAACAAGATGCACACGTCCGAGCGATGCCAAGGAAGTTCGAATCGGGAAATCGAGAAGTCGGATCGGGAAATCGGGATTCGGACGGAGGTCTGAGATGTGCGCCGTCTCGGTCCAGGTCGCGCCAAGATGCACAACAGCGCCACGCGAGCATCGTGCCACATCGGATCGTCGGAACATCAGACTCAAATCGGATGGAGCGGGCCAGAATCGATACCGACTCGGAGCGACCGCATCGAAACGTGCCCTGCTGGGGTCGGCGGTCGATATCTTATTCATGCAGCCGCTGCTGCCTTCGGCCGGAGACGACCGGAGACGGCCGCTGCCGAAAACGACCGCTGGCGAAGACGACCGCTGGGAAAGACGGCTGGAAGACAGGCTGGGTTTTACATGCCCCCGCTCCAGCCCCTCGTGGATTCTAGGAATGGGGAGCCAGAGGGGCAAGGATGGAACCTCGGTCACCAAAGAAAGCCCAGAAAGGAAGCGAGAGCATCCAAAAGCCTCGATCCTCGATGATCCATCCTTCCGTCTTTCCCTCCTCTGGAGGTCTCCTCTGGAGAGGGGGAATGGAAGGAAGGAGGCAAACCAAGGCAGAATCAACTATTGAACGCCTTCAAAATCCAGCGCCCGAACCTCTCCTGCAGCGCGCTCTGCCCAGAATCTCGGGACGGATCCTCGAGGGACCACCAGGGCGCCCCAGGAGGCCCGGAGAGGCAGCGAGAGCGTCCAAACACCTCCTTCCTCGATCCTCGATCCCCCCCCCTCCTCGATCCTCGATCCTCGATCCCCCCTCCATCCTCCCTTCCTCCCTCCCTCCCTCCTCGATCCTCGATCCTCGATCCCCCCTCCCTCCTCGATCCTCGATCCTCGATCCCCCCTCCCTCCTCGATCCTCGATCCTCGATCCTCGATCCCCCCTCCCTCCTCGATCCTCGATCCTCATCCCCCCTCCCTCCTCCACAGGGGGTCTCCTCCGCACGCCTCGGGCGGAGGGCCTCCGAGGGCCCCCCCCCGGAGAGGCACCCCGAAACCCTTGGAGGCCCCCCAGCTGTCACTGGGGGCACCCAAAGTGCCTGAGGCCCCTGGACGCCCGAGGAGGAGGAGGCGGAGGAGGAGGAGGAGGGAAGAGGGGGGAGGAAGGAGGAGGAGGAGGAGGAGGAGGAGGAGGAAGGAGGAGGAAAAAGGAAGAGGGTGGGTGAAAACTGGACCCATCACCAAACAGTGGCGGCGGCGACGATCCCCTCCGCCGCCGCCATCTGCTGCTGCTCGGCGCGGCGGACAGAAGAGGGCGCTCCCCCCCACCCACCCCGCGCGCCTGGCGCGAGATCGGCATCGCGCCGACGGCGACACCTGGCGAGGCCGCGCACCCGCGGAGCCAAGAGTCAGGACACGAGAACCGAGACGGGCGAGGCCTGCGAACGGGGGCCAGGTCCCAGAAGAACGACGACACAACTGACACGACAGCGACGACGGCGACACCAGCCGCGGCACTGGCAAGCGGCAGCTTCGAGCCGAAACCGACGCGCGCCTGCCGAACGAGGGGGGGAGGAGGAGGAGGAGGAGGAGGAGGAGGAGGAGGAGGAGGAGGAGAGCCGATGCTGCGTGGCAGGGCACCACGCAACGGCCGCTCCCAGCACTGAGCACTGAGGACCTACGACAGCTCGCTTACGCAAACGGACTCGTCGACTGGACTCGCGGCCGGCCAGAAGAGCAAAGGAATCGAGGACCGTGGCGGGAGGGAACGGCGGGTCCGCCGGGCAGGGGCGCTAAGGAAAGACGGAGGGATGGGGGATCGAGGGCCGAGGGCTAACGATGGAGGATCGAAGCTCCGGTTTTTTTTTGAGGGAGAAGATGGGAGCGCACACGATGACGTTTGAAACACCTGCTGATCAGGAATAACTGACCGAGCTTCCGCCCCGTAGCAGACGGACGTAAAAATCAATTTCGGGCCGAGTCACCCGTGACAATTATTGCCCCGGCAACTTCCGTGCAGATGAAGGGACGAGGAGGAGGACCAGAGTGAACATCGAGCGAATTCCCGCCATTGCTTAGGAGAACGGTCATGAAGCAAAATCGTGCGAACGCGGAGCGATACGAAATTCCCCTATATCGTATCGGTGAGACGGGGAGGAGAAGAGGGGGGAGGAGCCGGAGGGAGGAGGAGGAACCCAAATAAGGATACTACGTACAGAAGCATGGCCCCGAAACTTGGCCATGGCCCCGGGCCCAGCAGAGCAGGAATAGGGTTTAAACTCGGCCGCTGAATTCTAGACCACAATCACACACATAATGTGCGCTGCATCCGCCCTCGGCAAACGTGCGGGCGCAATTGTGACTGAGCGTGCAAATTCCGATGTACCGGCCTATCAGCTGTTTTAGGCCTGGGCGGAGGAAGATAGCGCACCTAAACCGGGACAACACAGTGGAGAAGGAGGGGGTCAGAGCAAGCCCAGCGGCAGACTGAAACAAAACAACAGTCATGAATGACCAAATTCGGCCAGGAAGCAAACAGGGAGCACGCCCTCGAGTATCGAACAGCCGAGCGGGCACGAAATGGTGAAATACAAACCCACTGGAGAAGAGGAGAAACGACGACGACGACAGGGGAGAGAAGATGATGCATGCTTAAGAATGCCGCTGCGTTTTGTTGGCGAGGGCCACGGCGCGCGCGCTGGCGGGGTGCCCGCGCGTGGTTTCGCGAATGAAGCCGCGAATGAGGTCAGGGGCGTCTGCGACGGGCGCCCCGTGACGAACTGCAGCCTGGACGCGGAAAGTCGCATATACAGCGATCGCCCGGCAAATGTCAAAGCGGTCTTCGTGGTCGGCCTCAGGTTCGTATACCGAGCAAGCCGTTGTGATGCCCAGCCCGACGAAGTCCTCGAGCTGGCTGTCCGCCCGCGGACGGGTGAGTCTCAACCAGCGAGCGCGCAGTGCGTGCAATGCACCGCAGCAGGCGTAGTGCTTGATGGAGTCGGAGCCACGGGGGCAGCCGAGGCAGCACGGGGGCCCATGTGCCGAATCTGCTGGCCGTCGCCCAACCGTTCATAGCAGCCCGAATGGTCGCAGAGAGCACGCGGGGGGTGACCAAACCCGGAGCTTCGATAGGATCGAAGCTCCGGGTTTGGGGGGCGTTTTCGGCCCCCTTCTGGAGCCTGCGAAGTCCTCCGCAGGCCTCCGGGGGCCTCGGGAGGCCTCTGGAGACAGCGGCAGGGAGGTAACCGAAAGGAGGGCAGCGGATGCGACGCAGCCCTGCCTTTAATGCCACGGACGAAGGCGTCACTGAGGTGGCGGCGGCCTTGCGGGTATGGCACCCGGGCCCTGCGGAAGTTTTTGTTGGCGCACGGCCGACGGCCGCTTCGAGACGGTATGGGGCCGGCGTGGTTTCGACTGGGGCGACCCTTTGTCCCCTGCGGGCTTTGCAGTTGGGCAACGGCGCGCCCTCGAACAGCTCACCCCGCGCGCACGCTTGTACTGCTACTTCGACGGCACCTTCCTGGTGGTGCGGGCGGACCTTGGAGTCCTGGCAGTGGCGGGCCTGCGCGATCGCTGCAAACAGCATCGCGGGCCGCCTGCTGCATTAGAATTGTGGACGCCATGACAATGGACACTCTAACAATCCGATCATTGATTTAAAGATGTGTTTAAAATGTGTAAAACATGTTGTAAAAATGTTTCACACATGCTTTTACACATGTAAGATATGTTTGAAACCTGTTTCAGACATCTGGAAATGATTTGGCAGCATGCTTCCTCTCCACTGATCGTCCTCCACAGCATCAGCCTATCCGTAGAGGAGAGAGTGGGGACTTGTGCGCTCTTCCGCACCCGCGAGAGCCAGGCCCCCCGTCGCCTCAGGGCAGACAGCCACGCTGGCATCAAAACTCCAAACGCTTGGGTTCCAACCCCGAATGGCGCAGCAACCGCGTATGTCACTGCGTCTCCCCGCGGAGGAGGAGGAGGAGGAGGAGGAGGAGAAGAAGGAGGAGGAGGAAGAGGAGGAGGAGGAGGAGGAGAAGCCGGAGGAGGAGGAGGAGGAGGAGGAGGAGGAGGAGGAGGAGGAGGGGAAGCAGGAGGAGGAGAAGCAGTGCTTTGTGCCAGCAACCGCACCACGCCGGGCGCTTTTTATCGCCGCGGCGCGGCAGGGGCGATCCGCTCGCGCGGCGCACAGATCCGGGCTGCGGCGCTGCGAGGTGCTCCGCGTGCAAGAGAGGGGAGGGGCAGAAGAGGGAGGCCGCGGAGGGGGAGGGAGGGCGCCGGAGGGGGAGGGAGCAGGAGGAGCAGGAGGAGCAGGAGGAGGAGGAGGAGGAGGAGGAGGAGGAGGCCGCGGAGGGCACTCAGATGCGGTGGCGCCGCAGGGAGCGAGCGAGGGGGCCAGGCTGCGGGGCAGCCCCTGGCAGCGGCGCGCGGCGCATGGGACCGCCAGCCTGCAAAGGGAAATCGAGGGCGCGGGCGCAGCTGTGCGCTGGTCCTTCGCGGAGCCATCTCGAAACCTCCTGCGGCGCCGCGCGCGGCAACATTGGGAGCTAGAGTCTGGCTCCTTGGACCATCCCGTGGACAGCCTCTATCCATCCTGAGCCCTCCTGGGGCCGCCGTGGGCGACCGCCAGCCATCGCTTTCGGCCGGCCGGCGGCCGCACCATCCCCCGCCAAAACCCCCTGCCGCTGGAGCGGCTGGCCATGGAAATTTGCGGGCTGGGATCGGTTCGCGCAAATGCCTTCCTCATCCTGCGGATCCTCGTCCTCCTCCTCCTCCTCCTCCTCCTCCTCCTCCTCCTGCTGCTGCTGCTGCTGCTGCTGCTCCTGTTGCTCCTGCTCCTCCTCTTCCTCCTCCTCCTCCTCCTCCTCCTCCTCCTCCTCCTCCTCCTCCTCCTCCTCCTCCTCGTCCTCCTCCTCCTCCTCCTCTCCTCCTCCTCCTCCTCCTCCTGCTGCTGCTGCTGCTGCTGCTGCCTGCTCCCTCCTCCCTCCCTCCATCCATCCATCCATCCATTCATCCCTCCCCTCCCCTCCCTCCCTGGCTCCTTCCCTCCCTACTTCGCCCCCCTCCTCCTCCCCCTCCCCCTCCACAATTACCCAGTATGAATACTACTCTCCCTCTTCCCCTGATGGCGTGCTGGGAGTGGCCGACCCCCCCCGCGTACTGTTTTTTAGACACAGGATTCCCGGGAGTTGGATTTTCGCCTGCGTTTTTTCAAAATGCTGCTCTCGCTGAGGCGCCGGCCTCATTTCTGCTCCCGAATCGTTCCGAATCGTGCTCCCGCTGCAGCGTGGGCCTCATTTTCGGATCGGTGTTTGGCCTCCGTCGTTCAGGATGGCGTTCTCGCCCCAGCGCGGGCCTCTTTCTCGCGCGCCCATCCGCCCGCCACCACCGCGCCGCACCACCACCACCACCACCACCACCACCACCACCACCACCACCACCACCACCACCACCACCACCACCACCACCACCACCACCACCACCACCACAACCACGCACACACACGCACGCACGCACGCGCACCACCACCCACTACGCACGCGCGCGCGGAGCCACAGGTCCGCTACGACACGCGTCCGCGGATAGAGAAAATCAGCGCCATGGTAAGGGATGGGAGGGAGGGGTAGGACGTCAGATATGACGCGAGCACACCTAGCTTGCCCTCCCCATTCCCCGTCCCCCTCCCCATCCTCCTCCTCCTCCTCCTCCTCCTCCTCCTCCTCCTCCTCCTCCTCCTCCTCCTCCGCTGCTTCTTATTATCGTTACTCTTAGTATTATTCGTATCAGTATCATTATCAGAACTCTTATTTGTACTAGTATTGTGATGCGTCTTCTTCGCAGTATTAGTAGCACTCTTCTCAATATTCTTCCTATTTTTCGTAATAGGAATAATAATAGTGTTCGTGCGAGTAGTATTAATATTATTAGTAGTTCCGACATTCGTGATAACATTATTATATTAGTAGTGGTGATATCCGTATCTGTATTACTATCATAAGTATTATTAGCATTAGCCGTTGCCATTTTATTATACTTGGTGTTAGTAGTCTTATTATTTCTATTCGTGGCATTATTATACGTTTCGCCATTGTTAATATGAATAGTATTCTCGGTAGTACGAACAATCTTAGTATTACAATGCGTAGTCATACGATTACTCGTAATAGTATGATTCGTAATATCCGGGTTAGTGCTATTACGTAAATTCGTCGACGTAGTCTGAGCATGGGTATTATAATGATGTTTCCCAGTCATCTTAATATTCGTATTACTAGTGGTAATGTTCCTAGTATTAGCAGTCACATTCTTAAAATTGTATGTCATGTGGTAGTGTTCGCATTCGTGTCGTTAGTATTAGTAGTATGTCTATCACT